AACAGTGAAAAGCTCATTAAAAATGTTTCAAGTATAACATGTTATTCTGTTTTTTAACTTCAGATTAATTCATAGATCGACCAAATGGAAGAAGCACTCGTTAGCAAAACCAATGCGGATGATCTTGTCGACAACACTACCTCAGTTACAACATGTGTAACAACAGAAAAGTGATGTTTATACCAGATGATCGTACCAAGGTAAAGAAATAACTCGTATGCAATCGCATGTAATCGCATGCATATGAGAGGCTAGAAATAACTTTCTTAAAATGTATTGTACATGTACTTAAGGAAGAAACGGTACTAATTTAATCTATTGCTTTGGTTTTGAAACGTCCGTTGCATTGACTTGAAATACAAGCTCGCGTAATGTTGCAAAAACAATTTCAGTTTCTGTACGGATGGGTTAGTATTATTCTTTCTTGGAAAAGTTGACGTCGTGTTCAATTTACGGATATTTTTTGTATTCCAAACGTAATTTTCATTTTCATATTAATATTCAATTTAACTCAATATAGACGTTAGTCTAATACCATTTAAGAAAAATTTACTAAAGAAAATATATCTCTCAAACTTAATAACGTTGCTTCCAATACCATTGACATTTACAGAAAAATCACTAGGAGGATTAGATAAAGAGACAGAAAAATATTTTAGATCTTTCAAAGGAAATACGGGGGAAAAGTCTGTCCGTGTGTATCTAAATGCCAATGCTACAACAGCGATAGATACAACGCCATGACCATTTGCATTGCTCTTTTGTGTTTTTACGTTAGCATTGGTTTGTCATGTTTGTCATGTCTCTTATATGTCTAGAATAGAAAATGTGACGTTGCTATGTAATGCCATAGATCAATTTGGTTCCTTCAATACCAATATTTTATTGTATATCTTGTGTACCAGATTTGGTATTGTCTTAGCCTAAACATATGTATCCACAGTTTTTCCGGTGTTCAATACCCTAACAGGTATGCCTTCCCTATTTGCCAGGAAAATCAGCTTGCCAACCGACTGGGTGAGTTTACTTCGTACAAAATAGCACGCCAGCCTCTGAAAATTGAGTTGTGATTGAAATAGTAGGATGGGATAAAAGAAAAAACGCAAACACTACTTTGATGGTGTAACAAGAGAAATATTCAGCCCTCGGGTTGATTATTTGGTTGTCTAACCCTTGACAGAGCCGCGGAAAAGCCTCGGGTTGAACAATCAAATAAATCACCCCTCGGATTAGGGATTTTCTTGTCACACGCTCGGGGTAGAGGTAAATCTTACTAGTTCCCTAGTGATAAAGAATATATGACGCCACGTCGACATTGCTTTCGCGTAAATTCAAAACTGCACTGAGCTCGTAATGTTAACATTACATTAGAGAAAAAAGCATTTCCCCCTCGGCAAACCTCGTGTTTGGCAATTGACGAATAGGTGTTTATATAATTCCATTTTCCGTGCGAAAATGAATCCATGACGAAGTTTTTATCATCGTCATTAATTTTACTACACTCACTGTATCGTAGGTTTGAGTTGATAGTACAACATACCCACTACTACCGGTATCAATAATCATAGTCGATATCACAATGATGCAAAATACATGGAGCCAACCACAGAGTTGCTAAAAACACTTTCTTGAGAATGCCACTCAGGTAACATGTCATATAAGTTTATTATTATATAAATATGAAAACAGTATTGGCAAATATCTTGCATTCGTTGTGCAATTTGCCAAGAAATTACCAGCGTCATTGCCCAGTGCATTAACGCGAGATTTCTTGCCATGTCAAAAGGTGAAAAGATATTGAAACTGTTGCTATAAATAAAATTCAAATTCCGCACAATCTTTGGTCATTCAAAATCAAAGATAATACAGGACTACCTTGTCGGATGGCTTGCGTGGGTTCAATGTTAAGTCACACGATCAAAGGTCAAGGTCATGCATTATCGATTCTTTGGTTAACATTTTAGCTCACCTGCCCGAAGAGCAAGTGGACTTATGCCATGGTGCGGTGTTCGTCGTCCGTCCGTCCGTCGTCCGTCGTCCGTCGGTCTGGCGTCAACCTTTTACTTTTAACAACTAATTATCAATAACCAAAAGGCTTAGTATGATGATATTTGGCTAGTATCATGCTGGAATAAAGGGCTGCCACGTTCATTCAAATGAATGTTATTCATCAATTTTCACAGGGGTCAAATATGTTAAAATCTTTAAACGATTTCTGAACTACCAAGAGGCATAGGGTGATGATATTTGGCCAGTAACATGCTGGGATAAAGGACTACCAAGTTTGTTCAAATTAATGGCCTTGACTTATATATTTAATGGCACAGGGGTCAACTAGGTTTATAACCAAGATGCCTAGGGTGATGATATTTGGCAAGTAACAAGCTGGGATGAAGGACTGCCAAGCTACTTCAAATGAATGACCTTTTATTTAAGGTCACATGGATCAAATAGGTTAATAACCTATAAACAACTTCTTCTAAATACATAAAAGGCCTACGGTGATGATATTTGGCCAGAAACATGCTGGGATTAATGGCTACCTAGAAGGACTACCAAATTTGTTCAAACGAATGACCTTGACTTCTATTCAAGGTCACATGGGTCAAAACCTTCAACAACTTCTTCTGAATAACCAAGAGGCCTATGGTGATATTTGGCAAGTTACAAACTGGGATGAAGGACTACCAAGTTTGTTCAAACGAATGACCTTGAATTATATTCAAGGTCACATGGATCAAATAGGTTTAAATTCTTTGAACAACTAATTCTGAATAACTAAAAGGTCTACGGTGATTATATTTAGCCAGTAACATGCTGGGACGAATGGTGACCACGTTTGTTCAAATGAATAAACTTGAACTATATTTAAGGCGACAGGGGTAAAATATGTTGAAAACTGGTAACGAATTCTTCTTTATAACCAAAAGGACCAGGGTGGTGATATTTGGCCAGTAACAATTTGATCAAATGAATGTCCTTCACCCATTTGAATGGTCACAGGGGTCAAATATGTTGAAACCTTTAAACAACTTTAGTATAATCTAAAGGTCCAGGGTAATGATATTTGGGCAGAAGCATGCTGGTATGAAAGGCTATTAAGTCTGTTCAGCTTAACGTCCTTTTTTGACTTTCAAGGTCACATATGTCAAATTTTAAAATCTTTCAATAGATTCTTTGGAATCACATACTGGTATTTTGCTTGTATTTGTATTTTAGTCCACTTTTAAGATTACAAGTGAAAGATTAATACCAGGTGAGATATTTAGGCCCATTGGGCCCCTTGTTCTATTTTATTTTACTATTCATAAATCTGATTCTGTGAATTTTCTGCTTAAGCTAAGTTGTAGATGTCTGAAATATTTTCATCGTTGTCTAACGTCCTCGTACCAACCAAGATTATGAGGATGTGGTCTTGAATATTAGACATTGCATTGTTAATAAGACAAGTACCTTCCAGATTTTGATCGTCCCACGAATTCCGGACGACACTTTCCTACGTTGTATGCGTTTACACAATGGGAAAGTCCAGGCTAAGTTTAAGATAATCCGTAACCTTTCATATCTAATACAGGTTACAGATACGTTGCTGATTGACCGACGACCCATTGCGGACAATAACTTCCAAAGTTATCAATGGATTTCATTCAAACGTGACGTGTGCTTGCGAAATTGAAATGTTCATGTCAAGGTAAAAGATTATACAAATTCGTTCATAAAATAAGGTTACTGGTACTTCCTCGATTCAGATATATCAACACTTTCCGGGTATTCAATTCCGAAATATTTTTTGAATTTTAATTTTAAGTTCAATGATAAGCGTTTTAATAATTAATGACATAGCTACCTCTTTGGTTCTGACAGTCAATAACTAACAAATAGCATAAATTATGGTGGGTTATAGATGACAATTCGTCTTTTCGCGTTGTCCACCGCGAAAGACGCTAAGCGACAAAGCGATAAGACGAAAACCCGCCAAAGCGAAATAACGAGATAATGCCAAATAAAGCGCCAAAGCTGAATATTTTAAACGACCACGAAAACCGCCAAAGCGAAATAGCGAAAACACGCCAAACCAAATAAAAAATAACGCCGAAGCGTAGAAAGAAAATGGCGTTTGTTCCCTCCCTACTTTTGGCGTTATTTCGCTTTGGCACTTTTTCGTCTTTTCGCTTTGGCGTTATATTGTCCCTTCGTTATTCAGCTTTGTCGTTATTTTGTTATTTCGCTTTTGGCACTTTTTCGTCTTTTCGCTTTGGCGGGTTTTCGTCTTTTCGTTATTCAGCTTTGGCGTTATATTGTTATTTCGCTTTGGCAGGTTTTCGTCTTTTCGTTATTTCTTTTTTTCGGATGGTGTCTTTTCGCGGGAGACAAAGCGAAAAGACGAAGTGTCATTTGTAAGTCACCATAAATAGTGTTGAACTTCAGTCACACAAGCTTAAGGTATAAGCATATTCCGACTCATCCGAATCCGTCTATTAAACCACAATTCTTCCTTTTTCGATCTTTTTTAGTTAAATGATTTTAACTTCCTGACAGTAAACTCAAAGTGAAACTCACTCCGTGAGTATTACGCGATATGAATTGTGATGTTTGTATTTTTTGCATTTTGTAGGGATGGCGACTTCAAATTAATTTGCAGTGCGATCGAAATCTGGATAACATGACATTGTAGGTAATGAAGGATTCATATGAACACGATCACATAAAAGGAATTCATAATATTTGACAGTGAGTGGTTAATCTTATTGTATGATTCTTTTCAAGAAATGTGTAAAAATCTGACATACCTTCAACCAAGGAACAGTTTGATAACATGTGCCTATTTATCAAGATACAAAGAAGCAGGAGCAAAACGGAACAGTTCTTCGTATCTTTCTCAAAGTGAAGGAGACGGACATCCTTTATAAACTTGGTGACTAATTAAAGATAGTAAATGATTAAAGACACGCAATTTGATTGCACCTATTAAGTTTCGTAATGGATACTGTGTGCCAAAAATGAATTAGACTGCAACATTCAGTAAATTGAACGAGACGTGATTATGCGCCTGGTAGACTAGACTCTTGTTGCCTGCGCAAACTACGACGACTAGAGAGTCTCTTGAAGTGATCAAGGCGTCTGGTTGAACGAGACTATGCGTCTGGTTTAACGCGACTAGTAGGAGTAGTAATGGATGGATTTTGACGGTAAAAAGCAGCCGATCTGGCTTCAAATTAATTCCTGATGGGTTTTCCCCCGTCTTTTATTAGCGCAAGACGCCTTTAATTAGCATCCTTTTAAGGTCATTCCAATATGGCTGCCACATCAAAATGTATATCAAATTCAATAATGGGTGACCTCAATAATGCATTCCGTTAGCATAAACAATCCCTGTCATAAGAAAATCTTCCTCCAATATTTGTAAATATCATATTGGATGTCCATGGAGATGCATTTGTCTTGAAAATTGTAAGAAAAATGTGTCAAAATCTCCAGAATTATGGCATATATTTTCCCTGAATAAATCACAACTGACCACAAAGCTAACAAGGTTGACTATAAGGTTGGAAAAAAACCGTTCAAAGCAAGTGAGATAGGAATAGGACCCCCCGAGGGTATAAACATCAAATTGATGGAGCCCCCGTACGACAAAGAGGGTACATGCATACTAACTTTCAGAAGGAAACATTCAATTATAAGCTGAAGAAAAAAAAACATTTTTTATGTGTCCATTTTCCGAGCTAAATAAAAGTCACAATTCAGGAAAAAAACCCACATTTTAACTTGTCGACACAGTAGGCATTCATCCACTTCATTTGGTGAAAGAAAACTGCATTTTGCCAAACTTTAGTTATGTATTTTGACATGTAACTGTTAGGTCTATATTGAAGTGAGGGAAATAAGTGCAGATTACCAGGAAAAGGAAAGTTATGTTGTAATTATAATACAACTTCTAGGGTGCTAGTTTTTTCTAAATCCAATGACAGATCATTATCTAGCATCTTCAACATGTTGAAGGTTACCATTATCTATTAGAAGTATGCATAATTATAAGTAACATCCACAATTAAAAGCAGGTGTTTAAATTTGTTACTTAAAATTCACATTTTATTTCCAGTCAGCACAGTTTATTTCTGATCATGCAGATGAACTACATCGAAGACCTGAGATCATGATCATCTGCCAAAAACATGGTATTCAAGGTTGCTGATTCCACACCGAGTTTGATGATGTTTTCAACCCCTCCATTGCCAAGTATAACGGTGCGAGTGGACCTTTCGAAGCATTTCTAATAGATAATGATCTTTCGATCCATGTGCGACATGTGTGTGAAAGTGACGATTTGTTTCTAAAATATCAGGTTGAACTGCGCTCCGGGCACGGGTCGCATTTTCCCGCATATTATAGAGGGCCGGAGTTCTGACGTTAATCGACGGCAGACCGATATGAAAAAAGTCGATTAAACGTCAGAATAATTCGGACTACAGCTGGAAAAGAATCGAGGGAGAAAGTAGTATGGTCAGATGACCTCATTAACTCTTTTAACCGCACTAAACATGCCTTGGGCAGTAATAAGATCATATCTCTACCTCAGCCTGGTGACTCGCTATGGATCGTGACCGACGGCTCTGTCAAAAGCAGAGGAATAGGAGCCACTCTTTACATCCTCAAGAACGGCAAACTCCTGTTGACCGGCATCTTCAATGCAGAAACATCAAGTATTATGGCTACCCTGCGAGATAGAGGCCTTGGGCATTGGAGCTGCCATAAAAAAATATCCCTACATCATCCAAGCCTCGAGTACTAATCAGGTTCTGACGGACGGCAGACCATGTGTCCAGGCTTATGAAAAGCTGCAGCGGGGCGAGTTCTCTGCAAGTTCGAGGGTGACTTCCTTCCTATCGATCGTCAGTCGTTATGCTATACACGTTCGCCATATCGCAGGAATCGCCAATCTCCCATCCGACTTTGCCAGCAGGAACCCCATCGAATGTCTCGACTCTTCATGTCAGGTTTGCAAGTTTATAGCAGAAATGGAAGATTCTGTCGTCCGCGATGTATCTGTGAATGATGTTCTTGAACTGACAATCCACATGCCGTTTACCAGCCGCGCCGCATGGCTCGCATCACAACATAGGTGTCCAGACTTACGACGCGTTCACTCTCAACTCAGCCAAGGTACCCGTCCTTCTAAGAAGGCCACCAAGATCCCTGATGTCGAGCGCTACCTCAGGGACGTTGTTATAGCTTCCAACGGCCTGCTTGTCGTTAGAGAATCTCAACCGTTCCAACCTACACACGAACGTATTGTTGTTCCACGCACGGCCCTTGATGGGTTATTGACAGCCTTTCATATCCGATTCAGCCACCCGTATATGTATAAAGTATCTCTAGGAGTCGAATAAAGTTTGAACACGGAATTAAGTAACAGGTTTTCATGTCTTTTAGTATTTTGCTTTCGGATGATCAAATACGTATATATTACGTAATATGTAATATATACGTCTCTGGATTGATGTATAAGAAGCGTAACGAAATTCCTTTTATTGATCTATTTAATTTTTGAATTGATTAATGACAAACTACTCGCCTATCCTTCATAAGATTGGTCAGAGAGCTATATCTTAAATATCTAGCTTGTCCAAAACAGACTATCTGTGAGCTAATCAAGTAAGTGAAAGGAATTCGAATCATATACAATCCATATACTTTTTAAATTAAATAGTATTTGAGTATCTTATTTAACTGAAGGTTCTTCTTCAGCATTGTTAAATAAAATGATACTGTTATGTTTAACAAAATTGAATAACTAACATTTTTGAAAAGTAATTTTAAATTTTCCTGTTAAATTTATACATATGATCTTAATAACACCATTTTATGACATGAATAGATTTAATATAGTGAGACTGATTATTATATTTCTAACTGCAATTCTTTAATCAAAAATACCTTATACCCGATAAGGATAATTACATGTATCAAATATATATATTCATAAATGTATATATGATAGATTTCTGCCCGTTCCTGCCCGTTTCTGTCCGTTCCTGTAAATCGTCGCCCGTTCCTGCCCGTTCCTGTAAATCGTCGCCCGTTCCTGCCCGATCCACTATTAATACAATACTCTTAATTCCTTGCAATTCTTTTATCAAATATATCTTATAGCTGATAAAAAATATATCGACATAAATGTATATATATAATTTAGTCCGATTCTGCCCCGATCATGCAATCCTTTTATCAAATATATCTTTATACCCGATAAAGATACTTTTAAGTATCTAATATATATATTTATAAATGTATATATGAAAGATTTCTGCCCGTTCCTGTCCGTTTCTGCCCGTTCCTGCCCGTTCCTGAAAATTGAACGAGACGTGATTATGCGCCTGGTAGACCAGACTCTTGTTGCCTGGGCAAGCTACGCCGAACGAGACTATGCGTCTGGTTGACCGCGACTAGTAGTAGTAATTGGAGTATCGTCTAAGTGACCATCTCCATTCATATTTCACCATATTGACCGGATGTAAGTGGGTTTTTTTTAGATATGTGTACGTGATGGATTTTGACGGTGAAAAGCAGCCGAACTGGCTTCAAGTTAATTCCTGATGGGTTTCCCCCCGTCTATTATTAGCGCAAGACGCCTTTAGCATCCTTTTAAGGTCATTCCAATATGGCTGCCACATCAAAATGTATATCAAATTCAATAATGGGTGACCTCAATAATGCATTCCGTTAGCATAAACAATCCCTGTCATAAGAAAATCTTCCTCCAATATTTGTAAATATCATATTGGATGTCCATGGAGATGCATTTGTCTTGAAAATTGTAAGAAAAATGTGTCAAAATCTCCAGAATTATGGCATATATTTTCCCTGAATAAATCACAACTGACCACAAAGCTAACAAGGTTGACTATAAGGTTGGAAAAAAACCGTTCAAAGCAAGTGAGATAGGAATAGGACCCCCCGAGGGTATAAACATCAAATTGATGGAGCCCCCGTACGACAAAGAGGGTACATGCATACTAACTTTCAGAAGGAAACATTCAATTATAAGCTGAAGAAAAAAAACATTTTTTATGTGTCCATTTTCCGAGCTAAATAAAAGTCACAATTCAGGAAAAAAAACCACATTTTAACTTGTCGACACAGTAGGCATTCATCCACTTCATTTGGTGAAAGAAAACTGCATTTTGCCAAACTTTAGTTATGTATTTTGACATGTAACTGTTAGGTCTATATTGAAGTGAGGGAAATAAGTGCAGATTACCAGGAAAAGGAAAGTTATGTTGTAATTATAATACAACTTCTAGGGTGCTAGTTTTTTCTAAATCCAATGACAGATCATTATCTAGCATCTTCAACATGTTGAAGGTTACCATTATCTATTAGAAATATGCATAATTATAAGCAACATCTTCAATGAAATGCAGGTGTTTAAATTTGTTACTTAAAATTCACATTTTATTTCCAGTCAGCACAGTTTATTTCTGATCATGCAGATAAACTACATCGAAGACCTGAGATCATGATCATCTGCAAAAAACATGGTATTCAAGTTTTAACCAAAAGGTCACCAGTAGTACATTGAAAATCATTGACTGAGGTAATCATAATCTCTTGTTTTACACTCAAGTTTGCAATAAAAAATTACTTATACCATATATGGATGTTTCAATCATAAAATCGTGTCTTGGTAACACTCTTTCTGATAGGATATCTCGCTGGGGTCTCTATTTCAATAGGCCTCACTTTGCTGGGGGTCTATAATCTCTCTTCGTAACATCAAAGATGACGTCAGACGGAAACAAGCGTTCAAGGTTTGCAACTCATTCAGAGGGTAATGAAGCATTTTTGTGTCTTAAGTAATTTTTGTGACTTTTTGGAATCATATAATGACTATGGAAGTGCTACAATTAGGTGTATACATTTTAAAATTTTGTTGTGTATTGTCCAAAATATTGCCAAAAGGTGTCTGTTAATTTATAAAGGCTATTAATTTTGAGTGAACAGTCAAGTATAAGTCAAACTCACAAAGTGACTTACAGTTTTGCAGAAAACAATAATAAAAGATTGTTAGTGTGCACGTGACAAATTTGTTATCTCTGGGAAAGGAGGGTTCTAAAGACTCATAGACTTTGTCTGGTCTTTATAGACCAGTCAGGATCTATGAGCCCGTAAACCTCTACCTGACCAAGAGATAGCTTTATAAATAATATATTTCAACATCATTGATTTAAAATTCACTGCAATGTGCACTGGTTCATGTAGGATCTTAAATAGAATAGTTTCTATTTTCATAAGATTTATGGTAGAAGTCTATAACTTTCTATCTAAAAGATTTGTGCAATCATCCTGAAATTGTCTTCTCTTAACATTGTCAAATTTCAGCCCACCATCTGATGATGGTTGGCGATTCAAATCACCAAGACTTCCTACATGGTCTATCCGTCTTTAAACCGTTCTTTACTTATTAACGCTATTTCTCAGAAAGTACTGGAGGAATCTTTCTTAAATTTCATACGAAAGGTTCCCCATGAGTCATAGCTATATATAGTTATATGCATAATCAGGCTGCCATCTTGGATTTTCAGATGGGACGCATGACTATGCTCAAATAGTTCTACAAATGTACAGTCTGTACTCTAGAAATTTGAATAGACAGTTTTGTTTGTTCAGCATGCATACTTTTATTTTTTAGGCTGGTGAAGTTTATCAGAATTATATGTTAGTTCTTAATACTTTTGCGTATATTGCCTATATCTAGGGTTTTGCATTCAGAGAATGCAATTGCCTTATATTTATACTAGTGCCTAGCTAAATAATCTTGTATGTTCATATACGTCATTTTTAAGTCACCTGTGCTTTGCTAAAGTGACCTATTCCAATCACTTTCCATCCGTCGTCGTGCGTAAACTTTTTACATTTCAACTTCTTCTGAAGAACCAGGTGGATGGAAATTTTTCAAACATGGTCAGAATCAACCTTGGTAGATGAGGCTACAAAATTGTAAAATAGGGATTCCTACCCCAACTCCTGTGGCCAGGGCAGGGCCCAAAAGGGAAAATTATCCAATATTTCAAAAATATTCTTCTCCAGATTCTGCATGGATGGAAAGCTCATCAGGGGTTTTATTAAGATTGTAAATTTCATGACCCCCAAGCTATCCATTCTCCCTTGGGGAGGGGGTAAAGTTTACTATAGTTTATGTAGGGAAATAACACTTTTGGGTATATTTTGACAATTTTCTGTAGAAAATTATTCTTTCTTGGTGAGAACTATCCTTGGAGGTAGATAGTTTTAAATTGTAAAATTGGGATTCCTACTCAAACCCCAGGGGCCAGGGCAGGGCCCTAAAGGGAAAATTAACCAATATTTTGAAAGTCTTCTCCAGAATCAGAGGTACTACAGTCAATTTCAGTGCATGGATAGGAAAATCATCTGATGCTTTATTGAAATTGTCAATTTCAGGCCCGCTGAGCCATCCATTCCCCCTTGGGGAGGGGGTAGAGTTTACTATTGTTATTAAAGGTATATAACACTTTTGTGTATATTTTGACAATTTTCTGTAGGAAATTATTTTCACTTGCTGAGAATCATCCTTGGAGGAAGATGGTTTTCAGATTGTAAAATTGGGATTTCTACCCCAACCCTAGGCACCAGGGGGGGGGGGGGGGGGGGGGGCCCAAAGGGAAAATTTACCAATATTTCAAAATTCTTCTTCTCCAGACTTGGAGGTCCTTCAGTCACTTTCAGTACAGGGATGGAAGATCATGAGATATTTTATTGAAAATGTCAATTTCAGGACCACTGAGCCATCCGTTTCCCCTTAGGGAGAGGGTAAAGTTTACTATAGTTTATATAGGGAAATAATACTTTTGGGTATATTTTATCTATTTTCAGCAGAAAATTATTCAAACTTGGTCAGAATCATCTTAGGTGGATGAGGGTATTACATTGTAAAATTGGAATTCTTGCTCCATCCCCTGGGGTAAAGGGAACATTTACTAATATTTTAAAATTCTTATCCTTTGATGACATGACAAGTATTGTTAGCTCAACTGGCACGAAGTGCCAAGTGAGCTTATGCCGTGGTGCGTCGTCCGTCCGTCCTCGTCCGTCAACTTTTCCTTTAAACAACTTCTTCTAAAGAACGGACAGGCCTAGAGTCATGATATTTGGCTGATGGCTTCATTGGTAGGAGCCCTACAAAGTTTGGGAACGAAAATGACCTTGACCTGTTTTCAAGGTCACAGGGGTCAAATATGTCAAAAACTTCAAACGACTTCTTCTAAAGAACTAAAAGGTATAGAATCTTCATATTTGGCTGATGGCTTCCTGGGATAGAGCCCAACAAAGTTTGAGAATGAAAATGACCTTGACCTACTTTCAAGGTCACAGGGGTCAAATGTGTCAAACACTTCAAACGACTTCTTCTGAAGAACTGAAAGGTATAGAATCTTTATATTTGGCTGGTGGCTTCCTGGGATAGAGACCAACAAAGTTTGAGAATGAAAATTAGTTTGACCTACTTTCAAGGTCACAGGGGTCAAATATGTCAAAAACTTCAAATGACTTCTTCTGAAGAATTAAAAGGTATAGAATCTGCATATTTGGCTGGAAGCTTCGTTGGAAGGAGCCCTACAAAGTTTGAGAATGAAAACTTGTTTGACCTGCTTTCAAGGTCACAGGGGTCATATATGTCAAAAACTTCAAACGACTTCTTCTGAAGAACTGAAAGGTATAGAATCTCTATATTTGGCTTGTAGCTGCCTAGGAAAGAGCCGAACAAAGTTTGAGAATGAAAATGACCTTGACCTTCAATTAAGGTCACATGAGGCAGATATGTCAAACACTTTAAAAGACTTCTTCTGAAGAACTGGTAGTTATAAAATCTTAATATTTGGCAGTGGCTTCCTGGGAAGGGGCCAAATAAAGTTTGCGAATGAAAATGACCTTGACCTACTTTCAAGGTCATAGCGTTCAAATATGTAAAACAGTTCAAACAGCTTTTTCTGAAGAATTAAAAGGCATAAAATTATAATATTTGGCTGGTGACTTCCCGGGATAGAGCTCACCAAAGTTTGCAAATGAATATGACCTCAACCTGCTTTAGAGGTCACAGAGGTCAACAACATTTTAATGGATTTGTTCTTGAGAACTAAAAGGAATGGATTCATAAGATTTGGCTGGTAGCTTTTTTGGAATAGAGCTAACCTATTTGAGAAGGAAAATGACATTGACCTACTTACAAGATCATAGGACAAAATATGTCAAGCAACTTCTAAGAAGAATCAAAAAGCATAGAATCTTATAATAATATTTTGCTGGTAGTTTCAACAGATGGAGCCAACAAAGTTTGCGAGGGAAATATTGATAGTGCAATATGATATGTAATGAGAATATTTTGCTATGACTGCTTAAATATTCAGGTGAGCGATACAGGCCCTCTTGGGCCTCTTGTATTTCACTTAGTTTACATGCTGATTTCCACATCACATCTAAACAATAAAATAAAGCTACCAGTACCTACATTTATGCTTTAACTCAGGTGACCGCTAAGGCCCTTGGGCCTCTTGTTTTGTTTCACACTATAACTTAATTAAATGTAATTTATTTTTTATAAAATTTGAAAGAATGTTTACATAGAATATGCAGGGACTAAGACTGAGTTCAAAGTTTATAAGCACATGCAAAAAAAAGCAGCATATGTTCATGTACATCACCAAAAATATAGATATTAAATATGCTGTAAAGCCATTACTTTTCAGAAACATTATTGCACTGTTTTAGGAAGCTACTTGCCAAATGCATTTTGCATTGGTTCTTAAGAAGAGCTATTTGAGTGTTTTAACAATTTTTACATCAATTGGTCAAGGTCATTTGATTGAGCTAACTTGATAGCCCTTCATCTGCTAAACATGCAAATTATGCTAGGTTTTTTTTTCAGTGATTTGTTTCATTTAGTTCTACAGCCAAATATAATTAGCTGCAACCCTTTGTTGAAAAACTGCTTTATTCTCCAAAATTCAGATAAAATAAGGAAAGTTATCCCAATTATAAAGAAAAAATGCTATTTTTTCCCAGTTAAATGTAGGAACAGGTTGTTGCAAAATTTAGGACCTTTTTTTCTTCAAAAATAAGGGTTTTATACAGGGGATCCTGAATAGGGGTCAAAGTAAGTCATAATGCACCAGTGGATTCATGTTTGCGCATACCCCTCAATGAGATTCCACTTTAGATATTACAAAAAATATAAAATTGTATTAATAAAAAAGACTTTGACCCAATTTGAAGGTCATAAGGGTCAAATATGTGGTAAACTTAAAAAGGCTTATACTTATTAAATAACTGAAAGGCGTAGAGTCATGATATTTGGTTGTACATTATATACATGTAATTTTAAAGGGATTGTAAAACATATTTACAAGCAAATAAATTTTGAAAGTGGTACACTTTCATTACATTGTTAGCTCACCTGGCCTGAAGGGCCATCCGGCGTCAACTTTTTACTTTAAACAACTTTTCTCAGTAACCAATAGGCCTAGGGTGATAATATTTTGCCAGAAGCATGCTGGGATGAAGGGCTACCAAGTTTGTTCAAATAAATGATCTTCATCCCTTTTCAAGGTCACAGGGGTCAAATATGTTAAAATCTTTAAACAACTTCTTCTGAATAACCAAGAGGCCTAGGGTGATGATAGGTGGCCAGTAAAAATATAACATGCTGAAGAGCTACCAAGTTTGTTCAAATAAATGACCTTGGTTTATATTCAAGGTCACAGGGGTCAAATATGTTTTTACCTTTAAACGACTTCCTCTGAATAACCAAAATGCCTAGGGTGATGATATTTGGCTAGTAACATGCTGAAATGAAGGGCTACCATGTTTGTTCAAATAAATGACCTTGATTTATATTCAAGGTTATATTCTGCTATAATTACAACTGCTTGACTTTAATTACAAGTGCCTGTTTCAGGTGTAGGAATATGTAAACAAACAAAATGGCTACCTGAAATGTATTTTGAGGCAGGGCAAATGGTTTTTGTAGGAATATGAAAAATATGTAAATATAAAAAATACCTGGTTGTCTGGATGTAATTATTGTTGATATATATCAACAATAATTGCATCCAGACAAACAGTTATTGTTTAAATGATATGAAAAGATCAACTTCGTGCTTCATATCATTACCGTAATATCGACCAATTTTCGAAATATTCTTGATTAAATTTTAAAAAAAAATGTTTTTATACATTTGACATTTGTGACCTTGATTGTGACCTTGATAGTTGAACAATGTCTACCATTTTTTCAAACCTGATACCCACACATCTCAGAATCTTTATGATTAAATATCAAGACTCTAGACCTCGTGGAACTTAAGAAGAAATTTTTTTAAGGTTGGTACCCAATATTTTGAATTTTAACTTTGACCCCTGTCGAAAACCAGAAGTTGATATTTTTTGTTAAAGCAGTATGAAAGAAAAAGTTTGCTCTTTCTGATCTTTATATGATATCCAAAGATCAACCTCGTGTTTGATATTGTTAACGAAATATATTGGTATAGGCTGTCAACCAATCAGAGTTTGTGGCGGCCAACTTGGAATATTAATTGATCCAAAAAGTAACATAACTTCCTAAGGACCCCCAGAGGAATACATGTCACAATTGTGGTTAGGGGAAATCTGGGAAATCTCGGACACTTTTTACAATGTCCGACTTAAAGGTCGTCTGGTCGCCACTGAAGCGCTTGACGCGAGTAGGGCTTGTATGGAGTTGTTACAACAGTATGGTTTCTTTGCTTCTGTATCGTGACATGTGATTGGTGGGTGAGGGATTTTCTAATAAACGAATCGGAAATAGTAAAAGCAGAGATGGGAAAAGTCGGACACATGACGGGTAATCTCGGACAGTACATTTTTTAAGGCAATTTGTCTAAAATACATGTGTTTGATTCCAAATAACTAGTCATAATCTCCTCTCCGTACAGTAGATTTCTATACTGTAATGCTCTGTCCCAACGACCTGCTACACGCTTACCCAATTAACCATATCCTCTGTCTATATTTAATAGAACAAATGTCACCTGGACAAGTAACATACAATTACAACATTATACGTGAAGTAGATTAATTTTCCGAGTCGGCTTTAATTTAACCTACGTAGCCACGCCTACCGGGCCATACTGTTAACCAGACTCGGTACCGGATTTGACCAGAATTTACAGTAGGTCTATTAAATTCAGAATTAAAGTCGAACCAGAAAGCCAAAACATGTTAAAAAAACAACTAAAAAACCCCTGAACAATGAGACCATTTCGTCCATCTAGGACTCCTTAGTTTTACTAAAAAAGATCCACAGTTTACAGATAACTTCTACAGTATCCAGAACAACTTCTTATGGCTGGCGTGAGTATTGTAATGTCATAATCATAACGTTGGAGATAAGTGTCCGACACCTGCTGGTGGCTGTTCCATTTATTGGAAATCTACCACACACTTAATAAACAAATACATACAGAATTTTAAGATAAATTTGTTGTCAAAATCAATGAAAAATAGAAATATAAGACTTTAACTACGTTCTTTTTTTATGTTTACTGTCCTTAAAAATCTAAACAGAATGTAGTTTAAAGCTTAGAAAAACTTTAGAAAATGAACACAATGTTATATCTTTATCTTTTTCTATTCACTCTGCAGTGTTTATATGAAGACAGTTCTCACACCTTCACTTTTTACATTTTTTTAACTCCCTTCTCAAATCTCTCTCCCTTTTAAGTTCTTCCTTTTTGTCCCTTTTTAACATCACTTCTTTTTTTTCACTGAGGACATCTTCACTCGTCAAAAGACGATGTGATGTGTTGCATTTTTTTGTTTGATTTCGTTGCTTGTTTCTCAACTTTCTTTGGGACAAACATTGTCTGAATTTCGGAGTTCCATAAACTAAAGACGGGTTTTTCCACTCCAAGGCTTTCGCCGCGTTCCATTTCTCCAGTAGTGATTAAATTGAGCAGCAGCTCTGGATGATCAATCGAAGGCGGAGAATTCAAATTGCCTCGCAAAGACCATGTGCACTGCTCGGCATGCAGTGAAGATTCTGTGCCTGAATAAAGTGGGACGGTGGCAACGGGGGAGATGGGTGGAAGCGACCCGGAAATGGACGTCGGCTCGCCGAATGGCAACGCGTCCGATGCAGTGCCGGAAGTTATTTGAAATGTGGCAACGGGGGAGACAGACGGTAGCGACCCGGAAGCGGAAGTCGGCTCGCCGAATGGCAATGCATCCGATGCAGTGCCAGAAGTTATTTGAAATGTGGCAACGGCGGAGATAGACGGTAGCGACCCGGAACCGGAAGTCGGCTCGCCAAATGGCAACGCGTGCGATGCAGTGCTTGAAGTGATTTGAGCGGTGGCAACAGAGGAGACAGATGATAGCGGTGGACCAAAAGTGGCATTTGGGACAGAAGACGGGCGACTGGTATTCGTTGGTACTGACGGCGAATAAGCTGTCAACGAGATGGCCAAGGGATCAAACGGAAATATATTCCACAGGTTCTGAATCCACTGACGATATTAGATTGTGAAAGTGCCTTCTCCCAAGCTATGCTTATTAGCCCGGGGAAGCTGTATTTGTTGACAGTGTTATGAAAGCCGAACACGCTTTGTTGTACTCGGCACTAAATGGCCCAAACACTGTCCGGTCAAGCGGCTGTAGAATGTGAGTAGTATGGGGAGGGAGGCACATTATCTGTACATCATTTTCTGAGGCCAGTTGTAGGATGGCAAATGACTCGTGAGATGAGTGTCCATCGAGAAGTAGAAGCTGTGGTCTAGCGGCACCGCATTCTTTGAGAAACACGTCCCTAAACCATTGCTCCCCCAACCTGTCATTCATCCACCCGTTCTCCTGCCAGGCCCATTTGGAACCTGGTGGCGCTGCTTCTGTGTTAAAGCCGTGGACGGACACTGATGTTTTGCCTTTAACAATCAACATTGGAGACATTTTCTGTCCGGCAGCATTGATGCACGCCATTATTGTAACATTGGTACGGCTGTTGCTGGTACGGCCAAGCACATTTCTTGACGATTTTTCGGCAATGACTCTAACCGGTGAGTGTTCAAACGACCTGCCCGTTTCATCGCAGTTCCATATTTGCTTGGGCTTTCCACCTATGCCTAATGTATGAAGCAAACTTACCAGGTCGTCCATGTATTTAGATACAACTACCGGGTTCAACATTGAGGCCCTTGACGATGCCAGTTTTTCCGGGCGTCTGATTGACAGTTCCGGGTGTCTTTTCTTTACTCCCTCCCACCAATCTTTTGAAGGTATAAGTCTTTTGAATGGAGTGGCATTTAGTTTCCTGCAAATCTGCCCCGTTCTTTCCAGAAGTTGTTTTCTGCTCACTTCCATTCCCTGTCTTGCCGCCTGCTTTAAAGAATCTACAATTTTCTGCTCTACTGATTCTGGAAGGGCAGGGCGTCTACCCGGGCGAGCATTTTCCCCAACACGTTCAGTAACCCTGTCAGCAAGCGTCGATTTGGGGACCCCATATTTCGCTGCTGCCTTCCTTATCGACAACCCTGTTGATTTAACAGCATCAAGGGCCCTTTTAAGGTTTTCTCTGTCGTACTGCATTTCTTTGCCCTTTCGGCTGGTTTTCTTGTTTTTAGGCATTCTAGAAAAAGAGTTTAGTATATTGTATATATTTTGTGTGATGAGTCGTATAATTATTCATTAAACGTATACAGAAAGAAGGTAAATTAATTAAAACTTTTTCTAATATAAATCATAATTGCTGTACACCTTAGATAGATGAAGTTATTTGTTTCAGTGCAAACATTGTTGGCAAAGTTGGGGTATGCTCAATCCAGCTGTCTTATTCATTTTCGTCAAAAAGCTCAGGGTAAAAGTTGATGTTTTAAAAATGGAAGACAGTCTAAACCATTTTTATTTTATTAGTTTTTTTTCTGGTAGTTTGAATGAGAGGAAAATACTCTTACATGCTTAAGGGTATAGGATAAGGAAATTCCACCTTTGGGATTTTCAAATTTGGCAAACCTTCGGCAGAGCATCGGGTTAAGCAAGATTTGAAAACTCCTCGGGTGGATTTCCCGATCCTACACCCCTGGGCATTAAAGACTCTTATATTACTGAATGACTTACTGTATATGAAATATATTTAGTTAAGACTACGAAATTGATAACTTCCATTCGAAAAGCAAAAGACTAATTCACTGTCCGAAATATTTACTTAAAGCTTTTTATTTTTTTATAATTTCTTGATTTAAATCAATAAAAAACATATTTCTACTTTACATGAAATCAAATTTACATTCTCACACATCAAGAACTTACCTGTTTTTGTGGTATTGCGGGAGTGCTTATTTTCGTGGTCAACTTCAAAATTCCCCGGTCAAAGGAACTTCGATCACGTGATACCGAAAAGCCGACTTTGGTCCGGGTTTATTCGCGTTTTTAGTCTGTCCCTTAAAACTATATTTAGACTATTGGAATCTCCGATAATCACATTCAATGAAATGCTTCAAAATGTTGCAAACGCTCAACAAACAACGAGAAGGCCCCAAGTTTAGTAAGCTTTATTGTGAATTGTCCAAGATTACCCGTCTGTCCGAGATTACCCGGATTGCCCCTAATATTGCAATGGCAGAATTGGAGAAGAAGATCGTTGAAGTTTGTAAAGTTTTAACATATTGTCAGCATTTTAAAAGATCAAAGGAAATATTCAAAATATCGTACAACGTTAACGGTAAATGTTACAGAAAAACTAAAGACATAGAATTCATCGGAATGACATTCTTCATCGATCTGTTGAAGAATTTTTCAAAAAAAAATAAAAATGAATGTTTTTAAAATAATTGGTGAACTTTGACCCAAGGGCGAACTTTATAATTTGAAATATTTTGTATTAACCTGTAGTGAGAAAAAGTTAGATATGGAAATTATCTACAAATAATTAAACTTCATAAATTTTGTACAATCAAAGGTTTTCGAGTTATAGCGGTTTTAAAGATTTTACCCTATGCCGTCATGGTGGCCATTTTGTTTTTTTGATAAAGTTGAAAATGTTACAAAATGTTAGAGGACATCTGGGGAAACCTTTTCCATTACAACTAAATGAAATATTTGTCATTGATATTAGAGTAAAACAAGTTTTAAAATATTGCGAAATTTTAAAAAGGTCCATGGAAATATTTAAAAATGGTGTACAATCTTAACGGTAAATGTTACAGAAAAACTTAAAACATCAACTTCATCGGAATGACATCCTCCATAGATCTGTAGAGGTATTTTTCAAAAACAATGAAAAATGAATGTTTTTTAAAAAATGGTGACTTTTGACCCGTCCGCTGTCCGCCATCCGTCCTTAAACATTTCTTGTTATCGGTATTTCTCGTTAAGTAACAGAGGGATCTTTCTCAAATTTTATATGTAGGTTCCCCTTGGTCCTAACCTGTGCAGGGAAACTTTTGAGACTGATCGGATAAACAACATGGCCGACAGGCAGCCATCTTGGATTTTGATAGTGAAAGTTTGTTATTGCTATTTCTCAAGAAGTACCATAGGGATCTTTCTCAAACTTTATATGTAGGTTCTCGTTGGTCTTAAGCTATGCAGGGCAACTTTTGAGACTGATCCGATAAATAACATGGCCGACAGGCAGCCATCTTGGATTTTGATATTGAAAGTTTGTTATTGCTATTTCTCAAGAAGTACCACAAGGGATCTTTCTCAAATTTTACATGTAGGTTCCCCTTGGTCCCTTGTTGTGAATGTTATATTTTGAGACTGATCATGAGAACAAAATGGATTAAAACAAGAACTAGACAGATCTTTCTCATATTGCAATGATCGATTCTATTTCTTTCACATTCAGTACTGTACTAGTAAATATGTAAAATGACAAACTCACTTTGAAGGTTGGCTTTCATACACATGATCAGTATTAAGTTTAGATCAGAAGTTACCTCAAGGTGCATTTACTGTTAACATGACTCGATCAAACAGATTAGAGGAAAGAAGGGAAAAGATCGAACTGACAAAGAACTAATGAAGATGGTACAAAGGTGGGCACCAAGATCCCTCTGGGATCTGTTGTTATTTGAAATATTTTGTATTAACATGTAAAGAGAAAAAGTTAGATATGGAAATTATCTCAATAATTATATTTCCATCAAATCTGTACAATCAATGATTATAGCGTTTTAAGCTCACCTGGGACGAAGTGCCAAGTGAGCTAATATGCCGTGGTGCGGCGTCCGGCGTCCAGCGTCAATATTTTACTTTAAATGACTTCTTGGTGAAAAGTCCTAATTAAGTTTAACATTTCACATATGTAGACATAAAAAATACTTGTTATTACAGAAATGGCGATTTCACTGGGTTCTATGAGCTCAGCTTCTATTCCCATGCAACAGACACCTGTGGGGAATCCGGACTTTGTAAAGCTTGATCCAAAGTACAAATGCTTGAAATGCAGGTATGATGTAAAAACAGATTGGAATGATTTACAATAATATAAATTCACACTACTTCTCCAAACGAACTACTCATATTTGAACAATACTTGGTACCTTGATACACAGAACCCTCATATCAAGGGGATGTGAATCAAGTATAGCAATTGAAATTACCTCCTCAATTTGTGAAGTTATGCCCCTATATTTAAAAATATTGTTTGCACTAAATCCTTCTAAATTATTGACCTGATTTGAATGATGCTGGGTACATATAAAGCTTGCATTGAGTGGATGTGAATAAAGTATATAAATTGGAGCAACCTCCACTATTTATATCCTTTTGGTTAAAAATTGTTCGCATTACTCCTGAAGTACTGCACTGATGTGAATGATACTTAAAAATCTCATTGTATGCTCTACTCCTACTGCATATGGGTATAGCACTGATGTAATCATATTGCTGCTTGGTAATAGTACACATAACACTTACATGAATAAATTATATACTGGAGTTGAATTTCTGATTTATGGAGTTATGCCATTATGATGATTTAATGCATTCTCAAAAGAACAATTCCTACAAGTCCTAATTATAACACAAGCAAGGGTAATAATGTACCTTTTGTGGCAACAGTTTTAGTTTAATTTTGCCACCAGCTTGAAGCTCACAAGCTGAAAATTTCAACAAGTGCTTGTACTTGGCTCTTGCAATAGTGCATCATCTCATATCTGTGTGTTTCATGTACATAGTGTTACTATTGCTTGCTTCTCTAGGTTTTCCTATATGACCAAGATGTACCCAAGATTGATTCATTAAACTAGCCAGGCATAGCTCACAGTCACTCCATAGAAGATATTTTTTCCTGTTCTGGGAACCTGACCACATTCTTTACTGGTTGAAATTGTATTGTAGTACCCTTTTTCATGAAAAACATAATCGGTTACCTGTCTACCTACCCCATGTTTTTAGCTCACCTGCCCGTAGGGCAAGTGATCATGAGCTTATGTTATGGTGGGTCGTCCATCGCTCGTCCGTTCGTTCGTCCGTTTGTCTGGCGTCAATTTTTTGCTTTAAACAACTTCTTTTCGGTAACCGAAAGGCCTAGGTAGATGATATTTGGCCAGTAGCATGCTTGGATCAAGGGCTACCAAGCTTGTTCAAATAAATGACCTTGACCCACTTTCAAGGTCACAGTGGTCAAATATGCAAAACTCTTTAAACGACGTCTGAAGAACTAAAAGGTGTAAAACCTTCATATTTGCCTCCTGACAAAGTTTGAGAATGAAAATGACTTTGACCTTTTTTAAGGTCACAGGTGTCAAATATGTCAAAAACATTGAGCGACTTCTGATGAAAAATCGAAAGGCATAAAATCATAATATTTGAAGAACGATGGCCAAAAAGCATAAAATCTTATAAAAATATTTGACTGGTACTTTTAACAGATGGAGTTGATAAAGTTTGCGAGTGACAAATTTGTAGTACAATTTAATATTTAATAAGAATATTTGCTATGACTGCTTAAATATTCAGGTGAGCAATACAGTCCCTCTTGTTAGGGATATAGTATTTGTTCTTCCTATTGCTTAATTTATATATATTAAACAGTATTGTAAATGTTGAGTTTAGCAAATACTGTTTATTACTGATTTTAAAAAAAATGAATTTCAGGAAGGTACTAAGAGATGCAGTACAAACACTTTGCGGTCACCGGATGTGTGAGATCTGTGCATTCAAAGCATTTGATGAGCCACCACCTATCCGATGTCCTGGGAATGAAGACACGTGTGTTCCAATTCTGCAAAAAGAGGAGGTAAGTACCTTGAACCTCTGGTTAGGTGCTGTTACAAACATGTATATTGTGTATTTTTATTTTGCCTTCTTGAAAATTTGACATCAAATAATGTTTATTTATTTCCTTATAGTAAACATATTTCTTGTCATTTAGAAGCTTTAGAGTTTTATGAGCAAAATAAGTTGAAGGTAGCATACATAAATATTTACCATGAAGCATTGGAGATGTAATTATATCCCCACGAACAAATAGAAAGGGTGATAACTGTTTGTCCATCTTTTCATGAAGAACCCCTAAACTATTTGTTGGAACAAACAAAGTGAATGTTCATCATATGTACTTGTACATGAATAAAGGAATTTGCAATTCATCTATTTTTTTCCTGGAGATACAAAAGCCTTTAAAACTTTAAATTTCTACTCCAGAAGCCTTGCAATGTAAATGCAACTTTACCTTTAATATTTTGTGATTTTTATACCCCTTGCTAACAAAGTTTGAATACCTACTAGATAAGATGAAGCAAGAAACATGTTTTCGTGAGCTCGATCACAGTTTCTCTAGCTCATTGACTGATATATGTAAACCACACTTTTTGATCCCTTTATGTACAATGTAGACAACAATTTACGATTAATTATACATTTGTACAAAGCATAGAAATTAATTGAGCAAATATATGTCAGTGAAATTCAGGACACTTATGTAGTTTATTCACAACCTATTTTCAAGACGAAAACTCAAGTTTTGAGTGTATGCCTTGCTTTTAAAATTTACATGTGTGATAATCCTTATTGAAATAAAAAAAAACTAAATAAATGTTTAGGAGGGTGTGACCTTAGTTTTACTATAACTAAAAATTGACTTTTTCATCTTCCTGAGCAATTTATTTTCCTTAAAGTTCACACAAGTGTATAAGATTTTACGTGTACACCCCCTGCCCCTGTCAAACATTTTGATGGACAATATATTGAATGCGGAATTATAATACCCTGTCCATCTGTCCACAAATTAGTTTATGCAAGATACCTTGCTTGAATATTGTTTAAGTTTTGATGGAGCTTCATTTGCATTTATAAGATACAAAGACTAAGGTATGTTCAAAGTTGAGCAAAATCTGTTCATAATTGATTGGCATATGCACCCAGATGGCTTTGCAGTTTCTTTACAGTGATTCAGTTAAATATCACTGGATTCTGATGAAACTTTATCAATACTTTACCAAGACAAAGAATAAATTAGAAATCAGACGAAATCTTTGCCTGTCATTAGAGAGAAAAAAGTACTATACACAAAGCAGTACATATACAACAGAGTATGTGTGATGCATATATGTATACTGTATACCTTAGTTTCACACTTTGAGGACTTTTTTATACAGATATTCAGAGACCCCAGCGCACGACGTGAGATCAGGACACTTCCTGTGTATTGTACTTACAAGAATCAAGGATGTCAGTTAGAAATGCAATGGAAACAACTAGAGGTAGGACTGGACATTTTCTATGCTACGTATACAGTATGAAAAGTATTTGCAGCAGACTAAATTCAAAATTAAAATGATAGATTGGAGACAAGATAATAAGCAGTGTGGGTGTTGAAAATAAATATAGTGTAGTCAGAGTCTTCTTAACATTTCTTGTCTTTTTCTTTTAAAAATAAAAACAAGTATAAGCAATATACAGACTACAACAATCAAAGTCCGTCCGTCAACTTTTCCTTTAAATTGCTACTTGTCCTGTATATTTGGACTAAATTTGGTCTGGACCATCATAAGGCCAAGGGCAATCAATTTGGTAGAAATGGTGGGTCTGGCCCCCCTGGGGGCTGAGGGGCGGGCCCAATAGGGAAAATTTAGCAAATTCTTTTAAATTCTTCTTCTTCTGTAGGAGTGAAAGGATTTGTTCCATATTGGGTCTGAAGCATTCTTGGGTGAAGGGGAACCAATTATGTATGAGCCGTGGGTCTGGCCTCCCTGGGGGCTGAGGGGCGGGCCCAATAGGGAAAATATAGCAAATTCTTTAAAATTCTTCTTCTTCTGTAGGAATGAAAGGATTTGGTCCATATTTGGTCTGAAGCATTATTGGGTGAAGGAGAACCAGTTATGTATGAACTGTGGGTCTGGCCCCCCAGGGGACTGAGAAGCGGGGACAACAGGAAATATAGCAAATTCTTTAAAATCTTTCCTCTGTAGGAATGAAAAGATTTGTTCCATATTTAGTCTGAAGAATCCTTGGGTGAAGGGGAACCAATTTTGTATAAACCGTGGGTCTAAGTGGCAGGGCCCAATAGGGGAAATATAGCAAATTCTTTAAATCCTTCTTATTCTGTAGGAATGAAAGGATTTGGACTAAATTTGGTCTGGAGCATCCTTAGGCCAAGGAGACTCAATTTTGTATAAATGGTGAGTCTGGCCACCCTGGGGCTGAGGGGCGGGGGCCAAATAGGGGAAATATAGCAAATTGTTTAAAATCCTTCTTAATCTGTAGGAATAAAAGGATTTGTTCCATATTTATTATGAAGCATCCTTGGGTGAAGGGAACTAATTTAGTATAAATCGTGGGTCTGGCCCACCAGGGGGCTGAGGGGAGGGGCCCAATAGGAGAAACATAGCAAATTATTCTTTAAAATCCTTCTCCTTCTGTAGGAATGAAAGGATTTGTTCCATATTTGGTCTGAAGCCTTCTTTGGTGAAGGGGAACATATTTTTTATAAACGCTGGGTCTAGCCCCCCTGGGGGCTAAGGGGTGGGGCCCAATAGGGGAAATATAGCAAATTCTTCGACCATCGGGATTAAGGGACTTTATCCTTATATAGTCTGGAGCATCCTTTGGCAAAGGGGACTCAATTTCGTTTACACAGTGGGTATGACCCCCCTAGGGGCATAGGGGTGGGGCCCTGTTTGAAGTTTGTTCTCGCTATATCTCAAGTACTGGATGGATCTTTCTGAAATTCCATATGTACTTACAGCACCAACCATGGCATGCTATATCTTAACTTTATACCAATTATTTTAAACATATTCATGTGAGTGTTACAGGCCCTCTGGACCTCTTGTTAAATTAAAATTGTTATATTATATGATATGGACATATATAGCGGCAAGTAATTGCCTTCGTCCATCATCTATCCTATCAAATCAAGACCCTGCATATTTTCTATTTGTTAAAAATAAATCAAACTTTTGCCTGATTAAAAGGTCTTTTTGCGAAATTTGTTAAAATAATCTCTTGCATTTTTACAGGAACATGAGTTGAGCTGCGAGTACAAGCCGGTACAGTGCAGTTTTGTTAGGAATGGATGTGGTGTATGTACCATCATACAGAAACTAGAGGAACACCTTAAGGAGTGTGAATACAGAAATATAACCTGTACCTTCTGTAGAGATGATATCATCTTTAATCAGAAACAGGTAATAATGACCAAATGTTGAGGTTTAAGCTCACCTGTGTGGGGGACATTGGAAGATATTTTTAGCCCACCATCATCTGATGGTGGGCTATTCAAATCACCCTTTGTCCGTGGTCCATCGTCCGTCCGTCCGTGGTCCATCCTTAAATAATTCTTGTTATCAGTATTTCTCAAGAAGTACCAGAGGGATCCTTCTCAAATTGAATATGTAGGTTCCCCTTGGTCCTTAGCTGTGAAGGGCAATTTTTGAGACTGATTGGATAAACAACATGGCCGACAGGCAGCCGTCTTGGATTTTGATAGTGAAAGTTTATTATCGCTATTTCTCGGGAAGTACCAGAGGGATCTTTCTCAATTTTTATATGTAGGTTCCCCTTGGTCCATAGCTGTGCATGCACAGGGCAACTTTTGAGACTGATTGGATAAACAACATGGCCGACAGGCAGTCATCTTGGATTTTGATAGTGAAAGTTTATTATCACTATTTCTCGGAAAGTACCAGAGGGATCTTTCTCAATTTTTATATGTAGGTTCCCCTTGGTCCTTAGCTGTGCATGCACAGGGCAACTTTTGAGACTGATCGGATAAACAACATGGCAGACAGGCAGCCATCTTGGATTTTGATAGTGAAAGTTTGTTATCGCTATTTCCCGGGAAGTACGGGAGGGATCTAAGATAAAATTTGAGCAAGATCACCTCTGGGATCTCTTGTTATACCACCAATGTCAGTGTCAGTGTCTCCAATGCTGAAATTATTGGTTGAAGTCTTCTATAGGCTTGCTATTCATGTAATATTTATACTAGAATGCTAATATTTGGCACGGAGGTTCATTTAGATAGAGGTTACACAACGAGTGGTTGTTGAATATGGTATTTATGTCACTCGAGTTGGTTTATTTTCAAAAGTTAGAGAAAGACACTAACTTTAGCGAGTGTTTTTCTGTAACTTTTGAAAATTAACTAACTGGAGTGAAATAAATACCATACTCAACAACCACGAGTCGTGTGATATGTTTCTACCACAATCTCAGTCGGAAACAGCTGGAATGTGACCTGATTTGAACAACATACACACATGTGTTTGTTGACAGGGCTGCCATAGTGATGACTCATATGTAAAAAGTCACTTATTAGTATTCAAAAGTGACTTCTGATTTTTTTAAGCCGCTCTTGGCGAGAGCCGAGCGGCTTATTAATTCTGTCCAGAGAACGAAATGACGGACCCACTTCCGTTTGGGGTGCGTCCGCATACTTCAGTCTTGCATGCTCCCGCTATATAGTTTCGTAATCGCAAATAGAAAGTAGAATCTCTGACACTCACCTGTGGGTTACATAAAGTCTTCTGATACTCCTCTCCAAATAATAATCCTTACTTTAAATAATTGCTGAAAAAAAGTTTATCTCCGGTGCATTCTACGAGTGTTATGGTGGTGAAATTCGTGCACTATGTTTGAGCGTTTTAGCAACTCGGTTTGCGGTCTGAGGATGTTACGCGTGTGAAACACATACGATTCGAGAAAGCAGATGTGAAGACTGTCAAGCATTGATGCTGTCTGTAGAAGGAAGAAGTAAATATATATACTTATAAACTGTATGTTNACGAGACGATATGTGAACTGTGTATGCTTATCAAACATTTCTGTAACACAGCATGCTATTTCTGGTATATTGATTTATGAAAGTGTAACAATTTAAGAACATGACACAACAGCCGCTGCTGTTTGACAAGAATTGGCGCCGTGTCAAAATAATATCCAATTCGGTGTAAGGGAAATAACTCTTACGTTGTTAAAGATACATTGAGAAATATAATTCAAATATATTCGAAGAACATTTGTAAGATTTTGTATATTCAATGACGGTAAATATAGTCGCTACATATATCAATATTTATAATTAATATGAATAAAAAATAAATAAAATTAAAAGGAGTACAATGTCTCTTTTCTCCATGCATGTTTTCCTACTACTGTTAATTATCCTTCATTTCACAAGCACAAAATGCACCTATTCTTTATTATCCATTCACCGATTGCCATCCTGCACGTAAATGCTCATGTCACATCATTGGAGGATGCTAATCAATGAAAATTACAACAATGCGTCACACTTAAAGAGGGTTAAAAAAGAGGAGAGGGAGAAAATTTTTAAGGCATCATTTAAGAGGCGATTGATTTTGAAAATCCCAAAGACAACATCATCACATGACCTGATTTTCAATTAGCAGAATAAAGAACACATATATGAGGTATTATAGTAGATATTGATGCTCAATGTGTTACTGAAGCAATTAAATTTAAAGTGGTGAGTGGCTGTAATGTCATACTGACATAATTCTAGTTTACAAATTTAATAATTGTCAAAATAAATGTTTTGGCAACAACTTCATGAATTATTTTTTTAGTAGATGAAAAACTTTATAAGTATTGAGAATATGCAGTTTTGCATTAATATAAATACATTGACCGCAGACTTTATGCGCGTATGCATATCGTACAAAGTCTGCCTCCTGCCAAGTGATGAAGACGAATTAATCGCTTTCAATGTCCAAAACCATAGGCCTGGGACGTTTCTTCCTGACGGTTCTATGGTTGATGAACCTTAGTTCAGCCATAGTCAGACACTCCAAATAGCGATAATGGGACGTTGGGAGAACAACATAATTCCTGACTCTGTGACAGATCTTGTTTTGGTTTCACGACCTGGACACACAAAGGTATGACGTCAAAACGATATTGAGCGTCTGTAGCAATTTTGCCTGAAACTAGCGATCAATTCTTTAAATATCATCTTCTTTTAATATTGCCTTAATAACCCCCTTTTCAGAAAAACCTCACAAAGTCACCAACATTTGCAGGATGTTGACAGCAGACGATGTAAAATAAACAGCATGTGGCAAAAAGCGCTGAAAAAGTCGTCCCGGTCAAAGTTCATCTTCCTGACCAATCAAAACTCTGGAAGGTCATATACCACGTGTGATGTATAATTCAAAATTATCTAACAGTCTGCATGTTTATACAATAATCTGAGAGTGGAAAAACACAGTGGATTGTGGTAGAAGGTCTAATATTGATACAGTGCAAAATCAAATTAAATATTATGTTATATTTTTTATGACATTTTAACATTTTTGGACTTAAAAAATGTAACTTTTCCCCCTGGGCATGTATTCATGAAACCATTCTCATGCTCAGGTGTACATGTGGATTCTGTGCTCAAACCAGCTTTCTTGTAACTCAGTTAAACCATATCAAAAAAGCCTCTTCAAATGTTTCCAATCATTGAAAAAAACATTTTTTTAATAATAATAATTTATAACTGAAACAAGAAATGAGACTGAGTCACAACATAATCTATGCTTGACCATTAGAACAGTTTTATGAATATAGGCCCTGATCTCAAAGTTAAATGTTTTGGTAAGTTTATTAGCTCACCTGGTCTGAAGGGATGGGACAGATTTGGCAAGTGTTCCTACTGAGATATTAGTTATACATTTTAAGAGTAGAAAATTATGTTTTTCTTCAAATGTGTTTTCTCTTTAAAAAAGGGTTTTGGAATGAGATAGAAGTGTTTTCTTATGATAAATTGAACTTGCATATTTGCAGGAGCATGAATCAGCTAAGTGCAGAAAATTTCCGATTCCCTGTCCAAATGGTTGCGGTATTGAAAAACTACCTAGAGATGAAGTAAGTGTGTTGTAGCAGGAAGAAATGGTCTTATAACCTTACCTTATTGTGGCTGTGAGTATCAATAAAACCTAACCATTTATTAAAAACAAATTCTTTTTTAAGAGTCTGTTATAACATGAGACTTACATAAATCTCTTGCCTGTTCAGTCTCTGATTATTTACTTTAACAGTGTTTCATGGTCTTTATCAAGCATTGTTATTTTCAAGTCACTTTATAAATTTTAAAATGGTTACCATGCATTAAAATAGGCTAATCAGATCATTACTTTGCCAAAGATGTTTTGCTCACATGATTGCTCCTGCCAGCTAGTGCCATCCGTCGTCATCCATCGTTTCCACTTCTTCTTCAGAACAGCTGCACCAATTGACTCCTTACTTGGTACAATTGATCCTTTTGAGGTTCCAAACAAGTGTTGTTACATTTTGTGCCAATCAAAACAAACCAGATGGCCATCCTGGCATCTGATTGGCTGAGACATTTTATACTTCTTCTCAAGAACGGCTGCACAGATTGACTCCTAAGCTAGTACAATTGGTCCTTATGAGGTCAAGATTGTATGAGGTCCCGACCAAATGTTGCTACATTAAGTGCCATTTCAAAAATCCAAGATGGCCTCCCTGTTCTCTGATTGGCTGAGACATCATTGACTTCTTCTCGAGAATGGTTAAAGTGACTGACTTCTAACTTGGTACAATTGATCCTTATGAGGTCCAGAACAAGTGTTGTTACATTTTGTGCGAATCTGAAAATTAAAGATGTCCTAAATAAGTGTTTCTACTTTTCATGTATATCTGAAAATCCAAGATGGCTGCCATGGCCCATTGATTGGCTGATACCTTTTTTTACTTCTATTCAAGAATTGCTTCACCGATTGACTCATTACTTGGTACAAATGTTCCTTGTGAGGTCCCAAACAAGCATTCATACTTTTCGTGTTGAACCATAAATTCAAGATTGCCACCCTGTCCTGATTGGCTGAGAAATTTTCGAATTCTTCTCAAGAACGTCTCAAGCGATTGGTTCTTTACTTGATACAATTGTTCCATTCGATGTCCAGAACAAGTGTTCTTACTTTTGATGCCTATCCAAAAATTCAAGATGAACAACCTGGCCTCTGATTGGCTGAGACATTTTCGACTTCTTCTCTCAAAAATTACTGCACTGAATGACTCGGGTGTGTCCTATTGCCATCAATCTTCATCTGTCTTCATGCTTTAACAATTTGTTGCAATCTGAAAAATACAAGATGGCAACCCTGGCCTCTGATTGGCTACCACCATGGTCTCTGATTTGCTAAGATATTTTGACCTCCTCTTAAGAACAGTGCAAACAATCCACCTCTTACTTTGTACACAAGTTCCTTATCAGGTCTTAACAAGATGTCCACCTTGGTCTGATTGGCCGAGTCATTCTCGATTTTTTTGAACTCATGTGAGCATTTAGGCCCTTTGGGCCTCTTGTTGAACTCCTGATGACCTTGAGTTATTCTAGAGGTCTATTAAAAATCTTATATGGCCACCATTACCTTCAATTGGCAGAGATGTAACCAAAAGAATTTAGGTGCTACCTTAAAGAAATAGATAAACAAGAAAATATCTTGATCATTGTTGTTTGGATAGAATTTTATGATTTCAATCTAATTATATTTCTTGTTTAAACTTTTAGATGCGAGAACATGAACCAGAATGTCCAAAAAAACCCATTCACTGTAAATTTACCAATGTTGGATGTGAATTTTCTGTAAGTATCTAGGTCTTTAAATGTCCTTGTAGCTTGTTATGTAGACTTGGTACTTTATAATTAGAGCCCTGCATAAAATATGCGAGTGCCCTATGGTGATCACTGTGTACGTCAGCATTGTTGCTTCAAGAGATTATCTTGGACTCCAAAAAACTGAAATATTTAAATCTTCACATGGTGATAAACTGTGATATGTAGATGTGCAATGGGGTTTTACAAATTTATCAGATCAAAGTCGCTGTTATTAAAAATAGAGCAGTGTGGGTATACTGTCAAAAATACATTGTTTGACCCTCAAAAGGCCAGATTTTGTTAAACATTTTGATATGATATTATGAAGCAAAGTTAGTCATAATCAAACAAGAAGTCAATTTACCAAAGGTCAATGTCATTGGGTCAAAAGTCAAAACCAAATTTTGTAAATCTTATCTGGTAAACAGTATAAAGGGAAGTTGGTTAGAATTAATTGGAGGGTCTGCATATGCAATAAGTAATCGTACTGTCCATCTGTCTGTCTGTCATCTGTCAATCGGTTGGTCTGTTTGTTTGTTAGCACTTGGAGATTATCGGGGGAACCAGAAGGCCGATATTTCTGAAATTTTACATGGTTATACTTTGTGATACAGATATGCAATTGGGTTTTTATATATCCTAATGCCAGTGATAAAGGTCACTGATACTCAAAATAGAACCGGTGATATACTGTCAAAATCACATTGTATATGGCCGTGTTTACGCAGTGGACACCAGCTACTTTTCAAATAAAATACCAAATGAACATGAATTTCAATTAGTGCTTACTTTATATAATAATGCAATTACTTTTCAGGTTTTAATGCTTCAAAATCACAAGTGGCATAAATAAATATGGCTGTAATCTTCTGTTCTATTCACACAATTTTGTTCATACTTTTCATATTGTGGCAAATGATACCAATCCCCTATGTGAATAATGCCATGATCTAATTCCAAAAGTCCAAGGTGGTCAATGTAGCTTTTGCTTAGTTCTTAAATAGGGGATATATAGTCAGCCACACAGAGGGACCCTTGCTGACCTGTCAGTGTTCTAGTTGGTACTGATTTTGTATACCAAAACAATGTACATTAACCCATCAATGCAAATTAGATAATTTGATCAAAATGATAAGTGGAAATTTCAAAGTTTACTATCACTCATATTCTGACAACTTGGAATTGTCTCCAACTTCGTTGTGTGGAATTGTCTCCAACTTCATTGTGTGAAATTGTCTCCAACTTCATTGTGTGAAATTGTCTCCAACTTCATTGTGTGGAAATGTGAGGTGTTTTTTGTTTATCTCAAATACACATAGTCAATAATTGTCCTTAAGGTCATGAAAAAAAGACTTTTAAAAATAAGGATTTCGGAATTAGCAGTAAACATGATATTTTTGGATCACCATTTACATATCTTTTAATATTGATCATGTACATGCATATGAGAGTATTAATCCTGTGTTTAAGTTCTGATCCTGTGTTCCTGTATTGATCCTGTGTTCCTGTATTGATCCCGTGTACCAGTATTGATCCTGTGTTCCTGTATTGATCCTGTGTTCCAGTATTGATCCTGTGTTCCAGTATTGATCCTGTGTTCCAGTAT